TTGCATTGTTAATGAATTGCAGCTATGCCTATAAATTCACACGAACTTACACAATGCATTTTAACCTAGCACTTTTCATACTCCCAGGGAAATAATACGAAATACAACGTTTTGGTAGAAGAGAAAAAAAGTCCACAAACTAAATAGACTCAATTTTTTACAACTAAACGATTGATAATGTGTGTTGATGATTCATGTTCTCCAGACTGTAAAATGTTGCATCATTTGTTGTGTCTTCAAGGGGAGGCCGCACTTCGAGGACGCACTTTGTTATTTCAAATCTTATGACTTAGATCTGTTTTTCCATTGAGATCCCATTAATCTGTATCAGGTAGAGTACAAACATGAAATGTGTGCAATACTTTCCACTATTTATTACAAAATAGTGTTAATTAAACAATAGAAAAAACAATAGAATTAGCATAATTTAGCAGTATTTAGTGGTATTTATGTTGCACAGTTTTAGTTAGCCTGTGTACATCCGTTTCTCACCCCTCCAAAAAAATCGGGGAGATTTGGCTAAGTTTTAGTGTGGTCCTAAGGGGATTAGGGAGGATCTAGTGGTGAATTAGGGAGGAACCCTTGCAATCGTTTGTTGCTGTCACGACGTCGTCGTGTCACTCTTGCCTTTCACTGATAGTCACGTGATAGTCTACAACAATATCATTGTAAACATTTAATTCAATACTGAGACTATATTTCGTTTAAAGAATAATATGGTTTTCGAGATGTTCGAGCTATTTTGTCGTGAATCAAGTCGCGTGACAGTATTACGTGACATATTATTGGTTTGAACCACCCATCACTCAGTCCACCCAATAACTTGCAGACGTCGTCTTCACAGTAACACAAGTGCTTGGGCGCCCTGTGGTTGCTTTCAACGGCTTTTGGCAGTAACCCTGAAGCCGACCTCACCTCTCTTGTTTGTTTCATTTGAATAGGCGAATAATTTGTTTACATTTCGGCTCATTAGCATATCATCAGCATAATCAGTAAATCAGCACTGAATATTGAAACCCCCCCGGCTTCAAACACTATCTTAATGGAGGTCATTGTTGATATTTGTTTATTGAGAATGTTTGCGCAATTTTAGTGCAACTTCCGGTTTTAGCCTCGTTTACATGTTAAAGGAGAGATATGGAAATTTTGAAAGAGTTGCATCACTCGGATTAAATATGATTTTTGATATGTTGTTTCTGATGACATCTACGAAAGATTCGTGATGAAAGAGTTTCTGTTGCAATTTGTTCTAGGTCAAACCGCAAGGAGCGCGGAGCGTAAATTTGTTTGGGGGGGCTAGCGGCGAGGAGGTGGTATTAGGGGTTCGAAAATTTTTGAAATCTTAACTCTCGGAAATGTCATTTCCAGCGTTTTGAGGCGTTATCAATTTTTACCGTACATACGGTCCGCGATATTCTCAATAAATCCCAAAAAAGCTTGAATTTTACTTGTTCACGCTCAGTTTTTACCCAATTTTTATAGAATATATATATGGTGAAATTTCATAAGGAGGCTCTTCGCTTCTTTATTTAAGAAAATTCAAAATGTCGGAAAAATTATTGGGGGGGCTGTAGCCCCCCAGCCCCCCCTGCTCCGCGGTCCATGAAAAGTAGTTTGACTGGACTAATAATTAGGTGAAATATCACCAAACTAGACGCTCTTAGAGCGTGAAGTCGGGCTACCAATTTTGGAAAATAGAGAAAGACAGGCGTTTATATCAATATAAATGAATACCTTCGAATCTCCCCCATTTACTATGAAAGGCTCTGGAAATGCGAGAGATGATTCTTTAGTGGACGTCACATTCGAACCAGGCCCCTGATTTCAAAGAGAGCGCTTTTTTCCGAACTNATAGGCGAATAATTTGTTTACATTTCGGCTCATTAGCATATCATCAGCATAATCAGTAAATCAGCACTGAATATTGAAACCCCCCCGGCTTCAAACACTATCTTAATGGAGGTCATTGTTGATATTTGTTTATTGAGAATGTTTGCGCAATTTTAGTGCAACTTCCGGTTTTAGCCTCGTTTACATGTTAAAGGAGAGATATGGAAATTTTGAAAGAGTTGCATCACTCGGATTAAATATGATTTTTGATATGTTGTTTCTGATGACATCTACGAAAGATTCGTGATGAAAGAGTTTCTGTTGCAATTTGTTCTAGGTCAAACCGCAAGGAGCGCGGAGCGTAAATTTGTTTGGGGGGGCTAGCGGCGAGGAGGTGGTATTAGGGGTTCGAAAATTTTTGAAATCTTAACTCTCGGAAATGTCATTTCCAGCGTTTTGAGGCGTTATCAATTTTTACCGTACATACGGTCCGCGATATTCTCAATAAATCCCAAAAAAGCTTGAATTTTACTTGTTCACGCTCAGTTTTTACCCAATTTTTATAGAATATATATATGGTGAAATTTCATAAGGAGGCTCTTCGCTTCTTTATTTAAGAAAATTCAAAATGTCGGAAAAATTATTGGGGGGGCTGTAGCCCCCCAGCCCCCCCTGCTCCGCGGTCCATGAAAAGTAGTTTGACTGGACTAATAATTAGGTGAAATATCACCAAACTAGACGCTCTTAGAGCGTGAAGTCGGGCTACCAATTTTGGAAAATAGAGAAAGACAGGCGTTTATATCAATATAAATGAATACCTTCGAATCTCCCCCATTTACTATGAAAGGCTCTGGAAATGCGAGAGATGATTCTTTAGTGGACGTCACATTCGAACCAGGCCCCTGATTTCAAAGAGAGCGCTTTTTTCCGAACTGTTGCAGGGAAAATCTAAATAACGTTAAACATCGGGAATTCATCCAATACACCTTTTCAGTTGCACTAAGGCCTCGATAGCAAGTTAATTATTCTTTTGAATTTGACAAATGAGACTATTCATATCAATGTTTGCATTGCTCACATTTCTGCAAACTTTGGTATAGCCTGAGACTTATGTGTGTGGGTTAGGGGGAGGGTCATCAATATTTTTGGAATTTTTGAGGAGAGGGTCAAACGTTTAGTTTTAGAATTACTGGTGAGGGTCACACATTCTTATGGAAAAATTACTCTGAAATCTCCAGCCCTCCCCCCTCCTCATATAATAAACGTACCTTCCCTCTTAAATATTTTCACATTCCGTTTCTCTGGGCTACCTGTGGTATTTTATTACGCATCACTTGATTGGTCAAATCGTTATCCAGTCGAAATCTTCGAAAGAGTCTGTCTTCGGGCCGGGACTTTCAAAAAGCCTGAAATTCCCTGAAATTATGACCGTCGCAAAGCAGAGCTCTTTTCGTTTTGTTTTCACTCAAATTAAGCACGAAAGCGGAGATTTACTGGCTATAGCTCTTTTAATTCTTATAGGAACAATATCAGGTAGGTTTTCACAGCTTTAGTTTGTAAATTTATCTCATTTTGCTGGTCTGTTCGACTCTACTGAGAATTTTACCACAAAAATGACATTATTAAAGCTTTATTTAACGAGATGCATTGTAAAGAATGATAGATGATATAAAGATGTAAATGATAGAACATATAAAATAAAATATTGGAAAATCTTCTGACAGGATTACAAAACTTGGAATGTAAAGAAGATGGAATTTGCAGGTTAGATATCAAAGAACATGAATCACTTCCAGGCCAAACCGAGGAGCAACGAACTTTTACCGCGGGTGGGGAAGAAAAAATACAACCAAATTCTYGGAAACAGTTAGATGTGGACAAACCAGTGCAACTAGTCTATCCTGATAAGGATAGCCATAAAAAACTAGTTATAC